ACAATTGCCTGCTGCGGTTTTGCTGCTGGAGTCTTCTACCGTTTCGGGGCTTCATTTGTTTTTTTATATGATTCTAGCTACTGTTATTGCAATCTGTTGTGCTGCAGCTCTTTATTTTCGACAAGTCTATGCAGATCCACCAGGTGGTTATCCTTCTTTTTGTCATCATTGTTGGAGCTTTTAATGTTGATGTTTCAAACTGGACTCCTTTTGCCCCAAATGGTGCTACAGCAATATTGACTGGAGCTACAGTTGTCTTCTTTGCATATGTCGGATTTGATGCAGTCGCCAATTCAACGGAAGAATCAAAGAGACTACAGGAAGCTGTCCAGTTCCATTTTGGGTTCAGTTTTGGTGAGCTGCTCGGACCAGGGGCTGTGAATCACTTCTCGATCAATAGTAATATCCGGTCAAGGTTCGCATCTCAGGCAACAACGGCAATAGGTTCTCTGTTCTTCCCGTCGGCATCATCTTCATGTTTTTATTTTTGGGGAATTGAGTTTCCTGGGTTCCTTCATTACCCAGCACGTGTGTGCTATTCGAATTTTCGGCGAGGCTTGCCGTTCCGTTCCTGGTTGACGGACGTCGTGTTCTCTCCTCTCCGTCTCGCGTTCTCTCGTTCGTGTCCAGCTCGGCAATTGGTTTAGGTTTTGGCTTGGGGTTCTACTTTTGACTTGGTGTTTGGACTCCATTCTATGGATTGGCCTTGATATTTGTGATTTAGTGTTTTGGGCTCAGTTTTGGTGTTCATTGGGCTGTTGGTGTCATTGGGCCAATTCCTTAATTGGTTTGCTTTTATTGTGGATTCTAAGCTTGTGTGACTTGCTTGTTGGTTATAATTTTAAGTTTGCGTGGGCATCATGGGTTAGGGTTTGAAGTGATATTGGTCTTGGGATTAAAGGGTTGAATATGGTTTGGTGGGCTGTGTGGCTGCTGGAATTGGACCACTAATTAATGGGCTATTATTTTGACTTTTGAGGTTTGCTGTAGTTTTAGATCATTGACTTTTGGGCTTATTATTTTAGGTTTAAAAAAAAAAAAAAA